GATAATTTGTCCCGAAAATTGCATCTCTGGCACAGATATGAGGTGGCCCCATGGCAGCTTCTTAAACTCCTCCAGTTGCTTCTTGGTCAAGGCAGACTACACCAAGCTTCCTTGTATAATGAGCACACGGAATACTGGGCAGGAAACTGCTTCGACACGGGAACTTGTAGTTCAAAAGCCTTGTATAATTTCAACCAATACATATCACACATTTCAGGCAAACCAATTACATTACAAAGTAATTTAAAATGATGGGACAGACAAAAAAATGGGTTGCCAAACAACTACTAGTACATGCCAGACAAATACATACAGGCTGACAGACCATTTATAAGACTTGAAAGACAACTACAGACCAAATTTAAACAATTCAAATTCACGACCCAAATATTTCATATGGATGGCCAAACAACTACTTGTACATGACAGAAAACTAGAAATGGTTTGCCAGACAATTTATTTGACTTATGGCTTGCCAGACAATTTCAAGGACTTCACAGACAACTACAAACCTAATTTATAAAATTCAAATTGACCAGCCAGATCTGTCATATGGTTTGCAAGACAACTTCATTGGCATCACAGACAACTACAGACCTACTTTCAAGAATTCTATCACACACAACAACTTCAAAGTATTCACAAACATAATGACAAACAACACTAAAATTACTACTCCATTCACACCAACATAAATTAAATTCAACAAAAATAGAACAAATTCCATACCTTTCAGCCATTTGTGATAAACTTGTGCGAATCATGGAGTAAAAAACCTTCAGAATGGGTTCCGGACGAACAGGGACGGAGGTCTGCAATTTGCTCGGACGAACTTGGACGAACCTGAACAGTGCTCGGACGAACTTGGACAAACAGGGACGGAGGTCTACAACGAGGGGGTGCTCACGAAACACCGCTTCAATTCACGGATGGGTCGGGGCGGGTTGAAACTCAGTGCAGCTCTTGAATTTGGGCGGGTGTGCAACGCGATGACTCAGATGTCTGCAAGTGTCCAAATGGCGATGGGGGTTTTTCGAAAGTTGTGGGGAAGGGGAAAGGTGGGAGCGGGAGATTTGGAAAGGTTGGAGGTGAGGGGGAAAGGTGAGGGACGCACGTGAGGGAGGTTGGGGTAAATTATTTGGAGGGCTTTTATATGGGGTAGGAATTGGGGTAAGTTTGGGGTACCTATAGCAAATTTGGACTAAAATAGGGGATACCCTGAAAATAGAACTCCATATTGATTTTTCGAGAAAAATGTCAATTTACTATAACTTGTTATAACCACGGGCGGAGCCATGGCACTAGGTCTGACTAAGCCGGGTACAAAGAGTATTTTTAGAAAAAATATTACATGAATTTTTTACATTAAAAATATAGACACTTTTTAAAAATTGGTCTGAGCAAGGACCAGGGTTGACCCTCTCCTAGCTACGCCCCTGGGTACAACAATGTACCTAAACTTTTTTTTTCGTGTTAATTAACTACGACTTAAATTCTCACGTTAAAAAAGATGAGATAACACAAATGGCCGTTTACTTTATACTGTTAGATTCCCCCGTCAGCAAATATTCACTCCTCTAAACTCTAATTATCTTTTAGGACTTTACGTCCTTGCTACATCTCCTCTTCGTTCTTTTTTTTTCTACGTTCCTCTTCTTCCGTTTTTCTTCATTTATTTTCTTTTCAATTCCTTGAACTTTGAAGGTGTTTATGTTTTCAGAAGCAGCCTTACAAACTGCACTAATAGAAAGGTTAGAGGGTACGCAGAGGCGGACCCACTAAGGGTCCCATGGGGTTCGGAATCTCGTGCACCTAAAAAAATACCTATATATATATTATAAAATTAATTATTCAATGTATATTTACAAAAAAACGACCTTAGAACCAAAAGAACGAAGTAGTCCAGCGGTGACTGGTGTTTATGCCAAATATGAGGTTGCGGGTTCAAAACTTGGTCTCTTCCTTTTATTCCTTTTTGAGATATTTGCCGGTAGTATGATTAGAAGTCATGGTCTTTCCCAAAATATGACTTCAAATTATTTTTTCCTAATCTATGTTACCCCTAACCGGCCATCATACTAATCGCATACGCCTAATTTTTTTATTCCTTCGCTACCCTTTAGTCAACCTACGGTCAACGTACATTTATTCCAAAACCGTTTAAGCATTTATTTCACAATCAATTAAATTAGGTAATTGTTTTCCATCGCCGATTCCTTCTGTTCTTCAATCTTCATTTTCAACCTTCGTTCTCTTTGGGTTTTTTCGATGAATTCCAAATAACTGTTTCCTTCTTCTATTCGTTCCTCCTGTTTCGATAGTTATGGAAATCAGTTGTTCTCCAAATCGATCTCCAAGCATACATGTCTTGATGCACGTAGATGGTCAGTGGTTGTCTAACATTCACTTTCAGAGCTCATGCGCCATCGCCATTGTTATTCCTTTCTCGTGCAAGTGGATTGATTTTTGTGGCATTATATACGCTTCATTAGGCGTAAGTGATTGTGAACGTGACATACATATTTCATATGTATTTCAAGCATGTCATCCACCGGTTATCATCAATGACGATTCTAGCTTGATGTTTTATCTGCAAACTAAAAGCATTCAATCGGACTTCAATAAGCTTCCTCTGTGTGTAGAGTTTGTTCAACCGTTTCAAGGTTTGTCACATATTTCTCCCCTGCTTTTATCTTTTGATCGAATTTATGTAATTGAATTGAGACCAATTGAATTTTGGCTTATTTGTAATTACTTTTAATTTGATTTCAAAGGATGTACTGAAAGTGTGCCAAACATGATTAATTACTCCATTTCGGATGATGAAGTTTTGGATGTCTTGGAGGATTCTGAATTATTGGCAGCAGCAGATGAACAAACAATGCACTCTAGTGATGTTTTTTGTCCCTCATCCAGCATTGAGTACTCTGATTTAAGCCCTTTGTCTTTTGATGAAGATGTTAACAATGATGATTTAACATCTTCATTTGAGGTTCCTTTCATATCTTTTGTTCCGACTTTGACCCCACCCGTCTTGCTCTGGACGCCATATATAAAAACAAAAAGGAGTTTAGTTTTAATTTGAAGATGTATGCAATTACTAATTTTTTCCAATACCGAACAAAGTCATCGGCTCCTAAGGTGTTACATGTTATTTGTTTGGATCCTGATTGTCATTGGGCTGTTCGGGGAGTTCGTTTGGATGAAAGTGGCTTGTTTCAAGTGCGTATGTTAGTTGTTTTTTATCTTTGTTTATGGTATGAATTACAATGCTCGTTGTTTTTCATAATCTTTACATTATTTAATGCAGTGCTATTGTACTTATAAGCTGCAGTTAATGACAATTTTTAGACCTTATATGTTGTCTTTTTACTTGTATACCCTTGTGCATTTCCATATTTTTCTGAAGTTCGGTGTCATTATCTATGCACCTGAATGACTGCATCATTACATGATGTTAATGCCATCTGTGTTCCTTTTCAGATTTGATAACGACCATACCTGTCCCATTGATATTAGATAAGTTAATAGTCGCCAGGCGTCTTCCTCTCTTATTGCTGAACTCATCAAACATGAATATGATGACTTGTCTAAAAGAGCTTACACACCTCAGTCAATCATTACAGATATGCGAAGATTGCATGAAATTGTGATGTCATATAAAAAGGCTTGGTTTGCAAGGGGAATTGCATTGCAATTGTCTCGGGGATCTGAAAAGGAGTCGTACAATAGACTTCCATCTTTGTGCTACATGCTTGATAAAGCAAATCCAGGTTCGGTTGTTTCATATTCTTGTAATGAAAATGGAGAATTTCATAATTTTTTATGTCCCTTGGTCCATGGAGAGTTGGATGGGAGAAGTGCATTCCAGTTATTATTGTTGATGGTTCGTTTTTGAAATCGTATTACAAAGGAACACTACTCACGGCATGCACGCAAGATGCTAACAAGCAGATTTTTCCACTTGCATTTGGTATTTGCAGTGTTGAAAATACCGTTAACTGGACATGATTTTTCAACATGTTGAAGAATTGTCTCAAGCTTAGACATAATTTGTCTGTGGTATCTGATCGTCATGAAGGAATCATAAATGCGGTTCGTTCTGTTTTTCCATATGTTGAACATGGGTATTGTGTTTATCACATATTGGGCAACATAAAATCAAAATTTTGAGGTTCTGCAAAGGTGTTTGTCTTGGAAATTCTTACAAGCAGCGAGAGCGGGTTCAGTTTATGAATATGGAGAGTACCTTTCCAGGCTTGATTATGATCACCCCGGTATACGTAAATACTTACAAAAAATTGGTAACGACAAGTGGTCTCGTGCATATGCTAGCCGCAACCGCTTTTCAGTCATTATGTCTAATGATGTACTCCTAATTTACCATATTTACGATCTTGTTTTGTCTCATTTTTAATATTTTATTTCTCGTTTTTAAATAAAAACAGATTTATTTTTATCATCTTGGACATTTTAAGGTACTGCACTTGTTTTGGTATTTTTTGAGTTTCAGGATAATTCAGGGCGTAAATTAAATTCTGAAAAGAAATAAAATTACTCCTGAGTGAAGACGGAAAAATAACCAAAGTGAAGCGGGTCATGACTTTAAATTTGAAATATTTTGTTATGAGACTCTGAATAAATTTCAGAATGAACCAGACTGTCCGTAATAAAATGTACCGGTTTACTGCTCACCAGTGACCTCATCAAACAATTAACCGGTCAAATAATGCAAGTGGCGGGTACAAGCCAAAACTTTGGCTCACATGTACTGTTCACTCCTTGTTATGAGTGAAATTGCATCCACATACAAGCTCTAAAGAAGGAAAAATAATGAAGTGCAAATGCATTTCATTGATTGGAGTGGAGGGACCTACGAAGCAACTAAAATCAGAATCAACTTCTTCACTCGAGTCGGCTATCACTGATTCACCGAGAACAGCAGCAACAAGATAGCAAAGAAGAAAAAAAATACAACAGAACAGGAGTGGCACTATTCACACAAAGAAATTGAGAACCGGGCAATCGCATCTGATGAAGACTGAAGTAATATCACAGCAAAATAATTATTTATTAGCATCTTCATTTCCGGGTTTTTATGTTTTAGCCCCTTCTCCTACTACCATATAAAGGGCCATCCAGGACCTGCAAAAGACACCAATTCGGAGAGGAATCCCCTTCTTCTCTTTTTTAGCTTTGTTCATAGTAGTAGTCATATAATAAAAGTGATTCTTCTGTCAAGAACGCTCTCTGTAAATTTCAGTTTGTAATTTTCATTTCCAGGATTTTAGTTCTTTAATTCCAACAATCAAGTTCATTTGGGAAGTATCAGCCAAAATCATTATCAGCTTAAGGATTTCACTTTCTGTATTCCAGCTCATTATTTATGCCTTCAGGTTCTTATTCAAATACTCATTTTATTTTCTTTAATCTGTTAAATTAGTTATGCCTATCATAAATTTTACTTCGTTTACTATAATTATGTGTAACTAAATTAGTTTTAGGTTTGGGCAAGATGTAAATTTTACTGTTAATCTTCATATAATAATAATTGGTTAAAACTATTACTTGGTTAATTTTAGAAGTGTTGGGTTGAATACTCTAATCTGTTAAATACATTAATATTGGAAATGAATATTATCACGGGAGTGAAATTTCATTAAAATCCATTTAGTTAATTCACCCACTAAATTGCTACATGGAAGTGTTGAGGAATTTAGGATAAATTGATTTTGTATTTTTTACTGTCTTAATAAAATTACAGCGGGAGTGAGATTAAATTAAGATAGTGTAATCAACTAAGTCGTGGGAACGATTAGAAGATTACCATTTGTAAATCTTTCACACACCTAAAAGTAACTAAGTTAATTAGTCAAATCTTTATTATTATGAACATTAAATTAAAATTACTCTTAGCCCAAGCCTAATTTTCTCTATCATTAATTGTTAAATTACCAAGTATTGTGATTTATTTTACTCCCTAGCAATTTCGCATTTATAAAAACAAGATAAAAAAAATCTGATCACTTAGCTCCATTGCAAAATGTATCAATTTGTGATTAGCTAAAAATCAATCATTAATTCTAGTTCTCTTTGTGAGCCATTCTCTAGCAGAACGATACTCATTTACTTTATACTATATCGTTACAAGCCAATTAAAACATCATTTCCATTCACATTTTTACATCATTTCACACTACATATTTTGGCATGTCAAACAATGCGGAGTCTTTGAATGTTGTTTTAGTCAAGGCGCGTGAGTATCCCGTCTGCAAATTGATTGAGTTTATAGTACGAACAATGCAAACATGGTTCTGTGAACGCAGAGAAGCGGCTGCATCAAACAAATCTCGGCTCTCTGCTTACTTTGAGGCGCATTTACAGCTATCACAATCAAATGCTGCATTAATGCAGGTACTTCAATGCAGTCATATTGTACTGCATTCTTGACTACTTGTTATTTCTTTATATAATTATCAGCTTCCGCTTTATGTTACACGTTCCATTTTTTTTAGGTCAGACCATCATGTATCTTTGAATTTGAAATCTTTGATGTGAAAGGAAGACCATATGTTGTCAATTTAAGAGAGGGCACTTGTACATGCCGTGAATTTGAACTTGATGGCTTCATATGTGTTCATGTCGTTGCTCCAATCCGTTCTCGTCCTGGACTTTCTTCTTATGACTACATCCCTGAATATTATACTACACAGAAATGGTTTTCAGCTTACGAGGGCATCATTCATCCCATTTGTAGTCCCGATTGTTGGGTTGTTCCCCATGACATATTAGAAGTCATTTGCAGCCCTCCCTCTTGTTCTAAGAGACCTCCTGGAAGACCCAAAAAGCGACGTATTCCATCCACTGATGAACATGTGCGTCAACAAAAGTGTACATGTTGCTCAATGGTTGGTCACAATAGAAAGACATGCCGAAATCTCATTTCGCGCACTCGCTCCTAATGTTGATTTTTTTTTAAAATGATACTTTACATTTCAGTTTACAAGTGATATAGATGTTAATAAACTTCTGTGTTTGAATATGTTTTTTACTTACGAATTGCAGTAATAAATGCAGTATTCATTCTTATAAATGTAATGTCTCTTTACATGTTTTTGTGTACTCGTTCTAACATTACAAGTCTTTTGTTCACTTGATATTCCAAATCAGTTGGTTTGTAATTATACGCATGTTCTTTTGATTATATGTTTCTAATTACAAGTATGTTTTCAATTATTTGTACGTATTGCAGTTTGCATGTGTAATGATTACCATTCATATAAACCCAATGTTACGTGTTTACGTATTCAGTCAAAGATTAAAACTTCCTTCAAGTCATTTTGAAAAATATATATATATCTAACATACTAAAACTAATTTTCATTACTACAATGTTGTTTTCATGAAATGAATGTATGTTTTTGTTTACTTCAGATTAACAATAAGCACATGTCCTAATTATGTGCATTAATCTTACGCAGTACCCTACTGCATTATATGACTAACGTAGAAAATAGTCATATTACTTCAGTGCTTATTAAGCACACTTTTCAATGTAAAACAGTCAATACTTCACAAGCAATGTTATGTTCAATCCAAACAAAAACCATATTAAATCGTAATACAACAATACTTGAGTTTAATCAAAATAAAGCATCCCCAGTAAAAGCAAATTTCAGTTCATTACACATTTCTCAAAGACATTCATTCAACTCCATCGACATTCACCCGTCCATTGTAATGCAGGATCTCAGTGACAAACTTCTTCCTATAAGTCCACATGTCCCTGGAATTCACTTCATTAACTGCTCTCCCCATCATTAGGTACTCCGCCATTTTAAGTACAAATAGCCCACAACTATCCCTGCGCATTTGAAAAAAAATACAATGTTAATTATGTACCAATACACATTTTATTTTTAAGAAATTCAATCCACTTACCCGTCATTTTGTTGCGGACTGGATACCATAACCCATCCCAGTTTTCCATCTCCAATTGGCTGTTCACCATGCTCTTTGTACATCCTGCACCAATCCATTAGTTTTCCTAAATGAATTTCCAAACAAGGCAAGAACTTACTCAATTGTCTACTTGGTGTTTCAAGGCGGCTATTAGAGTCATAAATCCTAATACACTTTTCTGCCACATCAAGCACAAGTAGAACCCAATGATTCCTATTATTCATCGGCATGTACACATGCTCAGACTCGGTCCGTGGTAGCCAGTAAGGCACATTTCTCCCAAGTATTGCTCCAACAATACTTTTGTTTTGTACAGACTTTTCTAGGGTGCTTTCATTCCTCTCAATCAGCTCATGGTGTTGTTTCACCAATGTCATGAAAAAACAATCTGTTGTTGTGAACTTCAGCTGCAGTGAGTATTCTTGTGCTTTGACTCGCAGGTAGTATAATATGACATCAATGTGCTGTGTAAATCAAATCACCATAAGCAGTATTAATGCTCAATCGTAACATTGTTTAAAAAATTAATAAAAAAATATACTTATTGTGTCTTTTATCCAATTCCCCTGAAACCATATGTCATAGTACCATGACTTGCTTGTCAGTCTTCTATCATTCCACAATGGTGTCATATTTCTCAATCTCACTCTTTCATGTTTTGCATTATACCTCTTCACGCCACCCTTTTCATGATTTTTTAGTAGCCCGCATACATGAAATCAATTATAATTTCTAGCAACTTATCACTTGGCTGTTGTTTTGGGTCTAATGTCAGAGGCTCTCTCACTACTACCTTTTTTAGCTCATTTCTGCTGGCATCCTTCTTTCTTCTTTTCCCGTTTCCGGGCCCTAACAAAGATAATATGTTTGGTGCTTTTGCATCTCTCCTTAGCCTTCTCTCAACTTCTTCAAATGCACCTTCTTTCATCTAAATTATAATACGAATAACTTAAAACATAACACCAGAATACTACTAATACTATAATTCTGTCAAAGTTTAAGTGCATTTAATTACAATATACTATCAGCATATTATTACAAATAATATACCTCAACCGCATCCTTCTTTTGGCGATCATCAGATTTTTCACCAATTGATTGCTCAGTCATTTCCATATCAGCTCTCTCTGCTTCAACATTTTCTACCTAAATTTTAATACCAATTAATTAAATAATAACACTACAATAGTAGCAATAGCAAAATATGAAAACTCTAACTGCATTTAATTAAAACATACTCTATCCTTCTTCTAGAGATCTTCACAGTTCTGAGCAACTCGTTTCTCAATGTTTGCTGCATCCACGTCTTCATCCACTCCTTGATTAGCCATCACATTTGCCAAGATTTCATCCACTACATTACCCAATACTTGGGTATTGATTGGGTCCTCAACTCCATCCCCCAATCTGTCTGCACTTCATCAATGTTTTTCTCCAAATATCCCGCCACGTCATCATTTGTTCCATTTCTATCTTTCCTCTCTTCAGCTTTGTCATTACTCTTGTCCTGCTCTACTTCATGAAGCTCTCCACTTTCTTTTTCTTCATTGTCTTCACTGCCATTTTTGAACTCTGGTGCAAGTTCAAATGATGGAACTTCCACATCTCTTCCCACTTTTCTTTTCCTGATCAAGGGAAATCTTCTGCTTATAACAGTCTTTCCATTTTTTGCATTCACCAACAGCTTTTTAATCATGCTTGCATGTTTCACTTGCAATTCACATAGTTTGGTAATTGTCCTCTCTAATTTTTCAATTCTTTCACCTTGTGCTCTCACTTCTTTTAAAATACTCTTGATTCCCCTTTGTCCTATTTTCTTCCCTTCACTATCTTCACCAGATAGATCATCATCTTCATCAACATCATTCTTTTGCTTGTTTCGCTTCTTTACTTTCCCCTTCCTTCCATCAGAACCCATGTTTGTATCCTTTCTTCTTGCTTTCTTGACTTGCTTTGAAGAAGCTTCTTCACTGCTTATTTTATCCAAAGCATGTGCAACACATGTCTCTTCTAACTCCTCCTGTGTTGGTTTCATCTCTACCCATTCAAACTGCAAATTTCACATTTTCATTTCAATTAATGACCAGACATCATTAAACATCATAATCACCAACATGATTACACATTATGAACATGTATCACAACCATTAAAAAATACGTATTAATATAAATTTTTTACCTCTGGATTATTGAAAATTATCTCCCCAAGAACCACAGATGATGGCTTTGATGTGACAGACCAATTCCATGTTCTTGACCAGTAAGTTTTGGGCCTTTTCAAGCACACCCCAGCACACTCTGGAAAAGTCTCAAAACCTCATATTTACAGGGCAAATACATATCCAGGGAATGTCACCTTAGTGTTCTTTCCCGCCCCCAATAATGCTGCACACTTCGGAACCTTATCAAGCAAATCAGACCACACAATATCACCCCATGGAAACTTATTGAATGCATCAACGTCATCTACCAGGTTGATGTATGTTGTAGGCACTTTGAGTGACGACTGGTTACCTAGTATGTAGTTACCAAGAACGTGCAACAATCCTAATTTCACTGCATCTAATGGTTGCATCTCTTCTCTTCTTTTATTAATAGATTCAAATACTTGCCGTAGGTCTCCCCGGTCAAGACTCGTTTTTTCACTAAAGTATGTTTGTCCCTGTTTATAGATTACAGCAATATATCGATACACAAAGATGAGAATAACAGAAAGATAAATGCTTTGGAGATCCTTAAACTCGTCTTTGATATACCGTGAACTTCTACAGTAAGAATGGTAAGCTCTGAGGCTGTTAAGATCGAATGCAAAAGTTAACGCAAACCTAACCCTTAAGCGCCTTTTTATATGCGCATGTAGGTTTGCGTACAGGCTTTACGCCAGGTATATGGGCCAGACATTTGGGCCCCATATCCTTTACTACTCTAATAAATACACACAATTAATACATAAAGGAGTGATAAAGGCTATACTAATACAAGACTCTTGACAAACTTGATACAGAATAAAATATTCTTCAACAATCTCCCCCTTTGTGATCAAGTGTCGTCTTGCTTTTATTTTTGAGCTTTGAAGTAGTTTTTCTTGATGTTTAGTGTGTGCTCGTATTGACTGAGGATGTTTCTCTTTTCTAAGCGTTCATCAATTGCTTTCGAATGAATGTCAGCACTTCATGCTCCTTTTGAGTATATGCAGACGCATCTTCAAGTCTTTCGTCAAACTCTTCCTTCGTTTTTCGTAGCTTCTCTTGAATGATTTTCAACGTCCCATCACATAATTTGTGGATCTCTTCAACCACCATCAGGCGTTTTTCATCCTTGTGGTTAAAATAGACTACTGCAGGTGGAGTGAAAAAATGTGCTAGGCAGGGAAGTCCTCAAGCTCCGGACCATACAGTTTTGGTTGTGATAGATTCGCCTTTGGGATATTATTCTCTAGAGCCATTTGGAAGTCATGAGAAGCATTGACTCAGACTTGTCTCAACATGAACCGCTTGATTGCTTCAAAGCCTTCTTTGTAAGTTCGATTGCTGCTGACTGGTAGGTATCTGTATGCCATAAACATCCCATAGATGTCATCCATTTTTAGCATTATGAAGTCATTTCCTTGGCATACAAATTCACTACTGTCAGTGCGCTGGACTTTATAGCAGTAGAATCTGATTTCATGATGATCTTCGGCTTTGACTTGTAGTATTGCATGGACAGGATGTGTACTAGACTTCAGATCTTTTTCCAAAAGTTGTCGTTGAGTCCCTGAAAATCTATGAAGTAGCATGTGTAGATGACCTCCTGCTTCTTTTCCTTTCAGATGTGTAAGTCCGCGCATCCTCGGTTCTCTTAAAGGTCTGACCTTCTCTAGTTTGCGCCAGACACTCTTTCTAAGTTCCTCTTGGAAGGGGGCTTTGATTCTAATGTTCTCCCAAGGTTTCTCATTCTTGGGAAGTCGTCCTGCCGTTTGTCTGATTATTGATTCCAGTTCCTTGGGAATTTCTTTATAATTGTCCCCTTCTTTGAGTTCCTCTTCATCAAGCCGAATGATATCTGCTGCACATTTGGCGATTAGTTCTCGCAAGTACCAGCTCCGCTGCATGTCCTCAGTTTCTTCGTCACTGCGAATTTGATCGCACTCCGTCCATTTCTTAG